CACTGTTTGTTTTTGAATTGGATCAATAGACGTTTTCCCAGCCAGCTCGCCTTCTCGTTATACAATCAATCATTTCCAAATTTGTGTACCCTTGTTCTTCCCGTTTTACTTTATTGTTCACCTGTTATTTTTTCCAATCTCCTTAAGAAAGCTTTTAAACTGCTTCGACGTGGACTCACCATCATTAGCCGTGTCTCTACAATCCCGCTGAAGGAGTTGGTAACTGACTCATGCGAACGTCAGTTGAATGCATATGAAAAGTTTGCACATAAGATTCTCGTCGACTCCACACATCCGCTACTCGCAGATCTAACTTTCTGTTGTTCACATCCTTCAACTAGATCCCAATATCGTTGTTTTCCTTCTCGAATAAATATATATCGTAACTCTACAGTATCCTCATTAGCACGTATTCTAGTTAAGGGAAAACAGGTTTTCACAGACTTTGTTAACAGTTTTGGGATTCAAATCTCTTTTTTCCATTATTTTTTCTCTCTCTCGCTTCAACTTGTACATTTTTAACTGAAATGTAGGCTTCATGCCTGTAACAGTTATTACAATGCAATACAATAGTTGATCAGAAATATTGAATGAACGAAACAGCCGACTGAATGTCACAGTGGGTCCATATATTACATGCTAGTCAGACCCGAAAATGTGCAAAGACAGAAGTATGGGACCACCGTCAGTTAGCTTTTATAGTTACTAGTTGAAATCAAATGCAATCATCACTGGGATTGAAGACATCGATGCACTTTCTCGGCACACCTCTCATAAGAGCTATAACTGTTCCTGTCAGGCAGTCAGCATGCCCCATGAAAACTGCTCTGTTCTGAGACAACCAATCAGAGCAAGCGTAGCCGAACTTAGGTGTTTGGTCGGAACCGGCAACCAGTCAAGACGGTTGACAGCAATTCAGTCAATCAATCGTTTGATATATACATTCCCATGTCCTCTCTCTTTCCTATGAATAATCGTGACTTTTGCTTAATAAATGATTTCCTGCATGCTTCCAGTTGTGTTATATTCCACTATCTGTGGAGTTCCTACCTGGACGAAAAACGCTACTGAACGACGATCCTTGGATAATCCAGTATCGAGATAACACCGTGCGGAGAAAACAGTTCCTTTGTCACTGATTATTAATCGCATGGTCTGATCGGTAGGCAATCAAATGCTTGCACACCCGGTAAGCAAATACATCCGAAATGTTCTCAGTCTAGTTTAACTCATGACTGCAGTTTGGTCACTGCCTGCGTTCGATCCGGTGGATCCTAAGCAAACATTTTCAGTGCATCAGCAGTAGGCAGAAGCACTATCATGATGGAATATGGCATCACTGTTTAGCAGTTGGAACAACAACTGTGTGCATGAGTCCTTGTGAAACGGGATGGTTGGTAATTATTTTGAGGAGTGACGAATGCTAGTATTTCTGACAAGACAGAAGATAGAGCAGAAATGGAAACCGGCGGTGGCGTGATACCTACGTCGAAGAGCCATGTTGCGGCAAGCCAGAAAATGTGTGGACTGCCAGTTTGTCAAATGTTATCCTAGATCCTCCCGTTTTGTAAGTGTTAATATAAACAGCACATAGGGTGCGCCGTGTACTTCCCACTCTGACAAACTTCCTTTCACGACTCGCTGATTCTTCACTAAATGACAACTTGAATTGGAAAATATCTGCGCTTCCACCAAACAAGAGGTAATGCTTTCTCCGACAAGGTATTCACACAAACTGCTTTCTTCTTGCTTAAGTTAGCAGGAACAAGTTCTACCAGTGACCACTGTTGTTCAGGTGCAACTGTCGATCATCGGATTCAGACAGACTAACTATCGCCTTGCTAACCTACCACCTAGCAATGTTACCTTACCTGGGCAATCCCTCGATATTGTCTCTTGCTGATTTTCTCAAGAATCTTTCCCGATTCCCTCTGAAAGCTTTTTAACTGGTCTCGTGATAAAGATTTTCGACATCTGCTGCTCGGTTGAAACAATGTTCACACAAAAGAAACAGAAAAGAAGCCGTTTCTGAAATATTTGCAGAAGAAAAGAGAGATATTTAGTGAACCGAAGACACCGCTGGCTTTAACTGTCTTTTCTGTCTCGTCGAGATTGAAATTAGACGTATCGAGACGTAATTTGGAGGAAAATTGCTAGGCAGTCCAGATAAAAAAGGAACATAGAAAGCGATTTGAATATTACTCGAAGAAAAGATCAACATTATCCATCATTGACGGTGACGCACTCACTCGCGAGTTGGCTTATTCGGCTATAGTCACTAGGCAACCGCTTTTAGCCGCCACCCATAACGACTTTGACCTCATTCCATCAGAAGAGATATTGAGACTTTTAAAATCAACGAAGCTCACCGACATACGCCCTGAAGGATTACTTAGTTGACAGATGTGAAGTCAGCGCTGACCAGTGAATCCTTTCAATTACATTCAATCATAGAGAGCTGAAGATCACTCTCGCGAACTCTTATCCCAAAATATTCAAATACTACCGTTATTTCCAAATGTGCTCGTCATCTTGTCTTAAGCTTACAGGGAGTGGTGTTACAATCCTGTATCAGTATCTTTAATGAAAATGTTCTAAATACGGTTCCACATTCTCCTTAGTTCATTGTATAATGAGATCCACAAATAATTCTGCGAACTGGGATCGATAGCTCCTCCTCAACTAGTTATCCGCGTTTGCCACTATTCCTCGATCAAATCTGCTTCGTAAACTGTCGGTTGCCCGAATAATTTTCTTAGCAGATTATTCACCGCAGCGGCAGCAACGAACAAAGTAAGCTGGAAAGAACTCCTGTATCACAGTGAACCAATGAAGTACACTTCAAGCTAACGTTCTTCTGCCACCGTTTCACTTTTCCACGTTTATTATTAATCTAAGAAAGCTAAAGACCGTCCTGATGTTTGGTCGTATCAAATATGCGAATGATGTCTTCTAGGCATCGCACGTGAGGCCAGATGCAGTAGACCAAATGGAATAATACTTACCGGTGGCATTCCACTTCTCGTTCTGCTGACTGTATTCACAATTTGACCGAGAATATCCGGACACATACTGAAAACAAGATGAAACCAAACAGGAGGAAATGTGACTCGGTAAATGATGTGGAAGTCGATCATAAGCATGTTCCGGATACTATTCTGTTTTCATTTATGGAGCTGGAATCGTCCATGTGGAGATCACTGTTCGATTAGGGGGTTTGTGATGAAACGTATCAGATAACAATATATATACACATACACCGTCAAAAAACTTATAATAAATAATTTTGGTAGACACATTGTGGGTTAAACACCGATGTCGCGAATCTGCATCAAAACCCGGAATTAGTAGCGCATAAAAATGAAACATTATGGGTTTCGCAGTATGTTTTGAGAATCCGACAAGCCGGGGAGTATACAACAGAGAAAAATAATCAGAGTGCTCTAATGGATTCCCATCGGTTGATACTTGACAAAGCTTTATCACCGAATTCATTCGTTTGATTTATTCACGAGTGAGAAATTGAGAAATCGCCCCAAGGCGATATATTTTTTTGCCCAACTTAATCAAATATTATGAAATTGGATGAAGTACCAGATGCTTAAAGGTGCTGACGAAACGAATGTGTGAGCTGGGATGAAAGTAAAAAGAGAAAAAATGATCATTCTGGTCAAAAGCGAAATATTTTGATAAAGGCAATGGAACGAGACTGCAAACGATGGAGTACCGAATTTGGAAGAAGGAAACAAGCGCAAATGACAATTTGAATTCCGATCGAGTCTTCAGAATCTGTGGCAATGTAAGTGACACAAAGGCTTCGCTTGTGAAAATCGAACGATTTTGCAAACAACCAAAGTGATGAAACGTCATCGAAAAATGATGCCAAGTCACGGCTGATTATGCATGTTAAAGTTTGTTATGGAGAGAGAGCAATGATTTGATCACTTTCATTCTTATCGCGAAAGCGTGCATCAAAATCTATTGGGACCAGAGTATTTTACAAGCCTTAAATATATGCTTTAATGCGACTTTCAGATATCAGTGCAATATGGTTCTAAAAGAATGGTTGAATTGAACAATCTCTAAATGGTGATTGCTCTACTGAGAAAATCCTACTCACTGCGTTCTCGTGGAGGAGGTGTTTTCGTACTAAAGTGAGAAGACGAAAAGCCGATATCCGGGACTATAACCGGGTTAGTAGACTACTGGCAGCTCACTGAGGGGAGTTGACCAAACTCTGATTCGAAACCAACCAAGAGGAGGGGTACGAACCACGCACACCTTTCCGGTTGTGGCAACGGTCAACGGCTCAACTGGGCATCGAGGTGTATTGGGCACCTTGGACGTTTGACACCGTCCGAAGGGGGTATGATCCGATGAACTGAACACCGGCTCCCAGTGGACTGCGATTTTGACACACCACCCAGCTGCCTTGCGGATCAGGCTTGGTTAGCCGAAGGCTCCGGTTGTGGATTCACCTGCCTTGGCCTGGGCAGCCTGGCAGTATTCAGCCCATATGCAAATTATGGAACGTTTTTCTTTTTTATAAAGATTATTGTATCGTGATTTGTTTGGCACAGTCTGAGTTCAGACGTGTGTTAAAAAAATTTTAAAAAAATGGTGATGGTACATAGTAGTAGGCAGCCTGCTGTTGTCCGGCTCAATACCACACCCAACTGAGGGAGGTCTTATATGGTGGACGGGTGAACGGAAGGTCCTCATGACTATGGGGTTTATTCAGTCTGATGCGCATCAAACAAAAGATGTGTTTGGAAAAGAACAACTCGCCTCGCATATCAAGGCACAGCACACAGGTATTTCGGAAACGGTGGAAGCCTTGAGAAAATCTGCCAGATAGTTAACTGTAAACCTGGTTCTCCATCGAAAACGCCCGTCGCTAGAGCATACGATAAACCTTAAATGTTGTTTGAAAGTGATTATTTTTATATATGTCGAATTTGATTAGACCTGATCTAATCACCTCTAACAGCCAACATAATACAATTAGAAGCTGATTCAAGAATGATTTAAAGTTAAGTGAAGATAGACCGACAGTACTCGTTGACTGTTTTCAGCAAACAAATTCTATTGTCGACTTTTGCTCCAGAACTAGTGCCGTCAAAGTCATAAAAATAGTGACCTAGTGATCTTGGGTTTCGAAGCTGCCATTGCCGCCCATCGTCAAAAAAGTTGACTGCATGTTAGTATACTCAGTAAATGAAAAGAGGAAATCAAAATATTTACCAAAGCACAACAGTAATAGATGCATAAATTTTTAATTTTTGGTGAAACATTATATACGATGTTCAAAGAAGCAGACCAGAGTGTGAAACTGTGGGATGTATTCATTCGTATAATACACCATGGAAAGACAACGAGTATATTGGATAATCTGGGGTTTGGGGGCAGAAATATTTGTCTACACCGCTAGCACTTTATCCATCATTTGGTAACCTAATGTGCATCCAAAGCATTTGGGTGAAATTTTTGAACAGATTATTCATACGATAGTTCTTTCTACAGCATTATAAGGCGGAACGGAATATGAACTATGTGGCAATGAGTTCTTCTTATATTGATATACAATCCACTGAACTCCTTAAGGTAAAGTCAAATGAGATGAAATGATCAATCATTTTCACATTGTATAAAACAAAACAAAAATTCGTTGATGCTCAGGGGATGATTCTAGGGTGCAATCTACACTGTACTTTGATTTGGGAATTTGATAGAACACGCAATAGGCTGAGCATGTTTTGCTACCTTTCTCAGCCCTATTGCGCAATGAATGTTCTCTTTGGACGACTGCTATACTACAGTTATGGTGAATGGACCACTGGAAAAAAAAGAGAATATACGGTTGTAACTATGTCACCTTAGAAGCAGCCTGTTGATAAAAAGTTCAATCGCTGCAAAAGTGAACTGGTGATCCCGTGTTTTGAACCTGTTCAGTACCACATAAACTTGTGACTGTGTATACAAGGACCCGTATGTTTACCTCTTTTACTGATCTACATTTGGTATTCAGCCCCAACATGCACAGATGTTTACGGTGCTCCCCCTAACACTGGTTGGCATATACTGCTTTAGAGTCCTTCTGGACTGCATTTCAAAATCCACCTTGAAGCTTGTCACTAGCTCACAGAAGCTCAGGTTTATCTGATGATTCCAATATACTTGATGAGTGAACGTCATAGCAGATCATCTGAACCATCTCGATATGTGCTCTATCAAATTGTTCGCACTCTCGGTCATTCTGAGCAATGCCAGATTCGCACACACCTAGCAGTCGGACAAATCGCACTAAATTTGGCGATCGGTATTTTTTCACAGCCGAAATGACTTGACCCGAGTACACACATCTGCCTTCTATTGCTACTCGCAACCGAAAAATGACGAATGGGACGGAACGAAAACTGTGTTAGTTACATTTTGGTGCCAAAATGCGGATTCTGATTGCTTAAATCAATCACGTCATTTAAGTGATTTATCAGGTGGCGATGCTAACGGTGATGGCGAGTGACGAGACTGACTGACTGAAAATGTCAGTCAACGTATTTTAATCGAGAACAGCGGAAGACGAGGAGCAGTAGAAACAGAGCACAAAAGGATTATTACATACCTGGGGTTCGAAGGATTTGTTACCGGCGGTTTGTGAGTTTGTTGTTCCAACTCGCATGGGTCCGACACCGCTGCTGTCTACACTTTCGCTGCTCCCGTCACCGGTAGGTCGTCCCGTAGAGGGTGGTGGTCGTGGTGGCGCGTTCGAGTTTAACAATAACCCGGCGTTCGGAGCCAAATCACCGCCTCCAGACTCACGTAATTGTTGTGCCATTGCAGNCCGCACGCGCCTCCACAATGAACTGTTTCACTTCCACTGCATCCATTAAGAGGGTATATTTGTGTGCATGTGGAAAATAAACAAATGCGTGCACATACAGAACGTATCGAGTATTGCGCAGAATCCTATTCAAATTATGAATAACCGGTAAAGAAAAAAACAAATTGACGAGTATTCCATTGCAGAGGGGTACGGTGAAATTGAAATGCTGACACTCAATTGTCGAAAAATATCACGGGGCGCAGATAAATGGTATACGCGCCTAGACGCATTAATGCAATCATTTCCCGGTGCCAGATCAGATTTATTGGCGATCAGAAAAAACGCTTTTCTTCGATTGTGGTTATTTAAGAAGTTGGTAGGACCGATGAAAAGAGCTGCCCAATAAACAGTATGTTTCACAATGTTTTTATCCTTACCGATACTTCATATAGCACATTAAAGCTAATCATACGAGAACATTTTGTCACAATCCGGATAAAAAAAACAAGTTCGTTGAATCTATTAAATTTTTCCGAATCCGATACGTGGCCTGAAATCGGCACGTGGCAAATACAATGCAAGTGAGCTGCAGCAAAACAGGAGACAGGATGGGATTCGAAATTCGGCAGTCTCTACTGAAGCATCTTCATAAGTGCATTAGGGAAGACATCTTCTGTATTCACACAGGCCGGCACAATCCAACTTCTGTGTCGGCCTTCGAATACGAATGCCATCTGAATCACTCACATTTGTAAGCGGTATATTCCGTGTAATATGTAATCAGACAAAGTATAATGTATTTCGGAAATCTCAGAATTTCTGAAGGATGACCAGATTTGAATGGGATAAATTAGTGAGGGCAGCATCCAGGTCCTGACTAGTTACGGTGTTTGCCACTGGTATACACGGCCTAATGCTTTGAACAGTTGTGTCGAGAGACCCGTATGATTCAAGATGATGGATCCGGACCAGTGGCTTACAAGTAAACAGTCGATTTGGGATTTGTTCTATTCATTAGGTCAACTCATCATTCGTATACAATACTTCATTTGATGAGATGTTTTTGACTACAGTATTTTCCCTTTGCTGATATGTGATCAAATGAACTAGTTTGTTATGGAATACGAAAAATTCAGATTTTTTATATTCTCGTCACTACCTGGAATTCATTCAAGGTGAAATATTGCAAAAGAGTAACAATATGGTCACCATGATTGAGCTGCCTTCACATGCGAGATTCGATCGTGTCCGGTGATCCCTTCGTGGCTGTAACGTTAAAATTTAAAAAAAAACGCTAAGATCAGAAAAATCCTAATTCTTGTCATTTGGGTGGACCGAATTTAAACGCAGGTAACGTTCCCGTTAGAAGATACACCACTGATTCCGAAAATTACAACACTTTGATACATGATTCATATTACCGGTTTATCTGTGACAGTTTCGATCAAACATAATGCTGAGTGGTACACTTAATCCTTATGTTTATCTTGATGGGTTGGCTCGATTAGAATTTCTTCGGTTAATTTTCCTGAGTGTCATCTTCAAGGTCAGCCGAAGATCGCTCGTTGGGCTGTTTGTTACCTTGTGCGTTTCCGGTTATCTTGATCCCTATCCGGGGCTTTATTCCTGTAAGCCACGTCCGTGCCTCAGTGCGAAGACAACTTACTACTTCCGGTCCATTACTGCCAACCTCACTCCCTCTGTACACAAGCTTCCACCACCAATATACATTTTACCAAATTCTTTTGATTATAGTCGAACGGCACCATTAGATCATACCAGATGTCATATGTTGAATCCCACCATCACCATCGAGATTGTTCACTGATTATGTCACAAATGTCTTGACTAACTGCCTTCAGAAAACTTCAGAAAAATGTTCGGCACAATTGGCCATTCATCAAACGACACGAAAGTCAAACTGAGGCACGAAAACGATAGAAGAATGTATCTTTCATCCAAACCTTGCCGAGCCCAAGAGTCTTGTATTATTCTGGAGCCTAGGCACTGAGCGAAATTCTCATCTCAGCATCTCTGACTCAATATACTTTTAAGTTGAAAATGTAAAAAGTTCATTAGCCTCGGTGGGATTCAAACGCACGCATGGGTGTGAATAGGAAAAGTTCAGTGCTATCGGTGTGGATTCGCAGTTCTTATGGTAGAGCGTGCGCTGTGCAAAAGCATAGGCGGCGTTCATGAGTCGGTTCGAATCCCACTGAGGCTATTGAACTTTTCACAAATTCAACATAAAACTTCAATCTGTCAAACAACAATTTGATCAATATACTTTCACTAACAGCTCTGATCGATAACACTGAATATAACGTTCCACAAATCCCTTGCCAAGTGCACAATGATTGACTCGCGACTGTACAATAGGCTTTCGAATATTATTCAAACGGGCCAATTCGATTTTGTTTTAATAGGAATTCTGAAGAATTTACAAAGAGAAATAATCAGTTCCACCTGCATTGAAAAGGATGTATGTTTCTATGTGAAATCACATTTTTCTGTCTGCCCACTATCTGCCAACCCTTAGTAACATTCCACCCTCTATTTTCATTGACCAGTGAGTCTAAACAATGGCCTAATTCACATAACAAAAGAAATAAAGTCTTAGAAAGTCGCTCGGTGCATTTATCAAATTAAGATAATAGAAATGGTTCATGGCAGTAGTCACAGAGTCAGGCTTGTTTATATGGCTCATCGAGCATCGATTTCCGGTAACTTTATGGTGCATATGTGATTTCGAGTATCACCGGGTAGGGATTAACTATTGTATTTACTTCAAGATTTCAGACTTAGTGATATATTTTGCTTACTGTTGTAAACATATAAATTGTGTTTTGGCCGGGGAAGTTAATTGGCCGAGTTCATGACGTATGCGGACACCGTTTACGGTTACATGAAGAGGATATCCTTGTATGGTTAATCCACTGACTTCCCATTTACTTATTCTATTAATCGCACTTCGAGTGTGGAAAAATGAAAACCCTCGTGTGCTTGGTGTTGGAGCCAGTACTGAATAAATGGGTTTTCAAAAATGGTCCTGAGAATTAAGGATACAACGTAGTTTGCCGCAGCTCAGATCGATGGCAGCGGGTTCTTTCGGAACCCCCAACCAGAGTTTTCGACTCAAAAGCCCGGCCCATAAGGTTTCAAGTCAAACGAGGAACGGAACCGAAGCATCCGTGCGAGAGCTTCGACAGCCGTAATACATAAGGTCTTAAAGTTCCACTTTTATGATTTTTGGTCCCTAGTAGAGTCTACTATTCGGAACAAATCTTCAGTCTCAAATATTTAACAGACCGGAGGAATGTGGCCGTGATAGTGTACTTCCGGCTGATAGTTGTCCGGTTTGGATGAGCAGCTGTGAGTAGTCACCCGGGATAGATCACTGGAGGATGCAGGTACGCGGAAGACCGCGCGTTACGTGCCAATTTAATTTGCCCAAAAAAAATCGGTCACACTCGGAGCTTATGCTTACCTGAAGAATTTCTCAGCAACGACAAACAAGCTTCTATTTTTACGCGCTCAATCTGCAAGGAAGGAAAGAATTATACGCCTTGAAGTATACACCTTAAATTGTATAGGACAGGTTATCATTATCATTACTATCTTTACTTGCTAATTGGAACGTCAAAATTATATGCAATCGATTTGTCGCAACGAAAAGCACTATCCATCAAACACTCTTGATATCATTTTCCTATCAGTAAAATGAACTCCATTATGCACTGAGACATCATGTTAATGAGGGCTATATGCTTACACGATTCGAAGGTTTGGGTCTTATGGATGAAAACATTCAAAAAGAAAACTGAATCATATACTAACAAAACCAGACGGCAGCATCGGTGAAAGTTTATTACTGTCTAGCAGCAGTAGACTGCAGAATACTACTGAAAATTGTTGAAAATAATCTTCTGCTGCGAGTTGACCAGAACAATGCTCACTTCATTGATAGACCGGTGCTATACTGAACGCGATGCTGATTAAAACCCGTCAAATCTGGTCGACAGTTGTTGGTTTAGCTGTGAAATACACTCCGTTCACTGTCGTGCAGTTTCAAGGACTTTTATGGAAGCTGACTGGATAGTGGATTTTAGAGTGACACATTGTTTGTGTTCGTGCACAGTTCGCAACCCCATACAAGTTACTGGTTACCACTATTCGTTATGGTGTTTGAAAAAGTCTATCTTTCTAGAAGGATGGGTGGTGCGATAATGCTGTTCCGAGTACGCGTAGTTTTCTTAAAATAAAGATTAGTTCACGGGTTTTCCCATAATGTTTAATGTGGTCTCATTGACGGGACTGGGACGGGTGAATTGACTCCGTGATACTGGAAAAAATATCGTGCTTTAGAGGTCGACTAATTTGTTGTACAATCCATGTTTTCCCGTTGCATTGGTTGACGTTGACAGTGCCAAAATGGAGAATTTCGGTATGTAGCTTGAAGAAAAATCACGAGGATCCCAGGGGATACCAATTACTATTCCGCCATTGGTTTGTAACAACGCCACTTGCATCAGAGTTCACAACAGACCTTTAGGTGTTAATCATTTAGTTCGGCTGGATGGTAAACGATAATGATCAGGTAGGCATGCAGCGTATACGATATGATTTGCAGAACTACGGCATCATCAAAAGCCCAAACGTTTCAGTGACCAATGCGGATTATGAGAATCGGGGTGGCTCAATCGAAAAAGACAAATACCGCAGGCATGAGGTACGTCGGTTACCGGAGACGCCGCAGCATGGGTAATGATCGTAGTAGTAGTTATGGTCTATGGATTACCGCGGATTTAGTAAGAAATGTATTCCCCAGTCAAAAGAGATCTCAAAACTATTAAAAACAACGTCTACATACAAAATTCCTGTTGACTCTCACCTTATTCATAAAGCACCAGTAAAGTGCTTTCCCAAAGAATGCTAAACTTTTAATTCACAGACTGGATAATTACAAAGTACAGTACTTTTCTGGCAGAAGAGATAAAACGATGCAGTCAGCT